GGGGAGCATGCACAGAGCATCCCAAACCCCCCAAAGAGCCATGAACGCACAGGATGTGAGGATAAAGGGGGGATGCAGGCTCGCTCTGCTCCTGGGGCTCAGCATCCCCACTGTCCTGGGCAGCTTAAAGTGGGAATGAGCAAGCACACGCTTTGGTCCTCGCTGTCCCAAAGGGGAAGGTGATCCTGTGTCCAGCAAGGCCTCTCTTTCATTCCTACATGGCCAGATCTGCCCTAAGCACATGGCTTTAGACAAGTGATGGTTTCCCTGTTGGCTGGACTTGATCTCAGCGAGGCTTGCGGGGATCTGAGTTTAAACATGGCACATCCTTAAGGGCAAATCCCCTGGGAGCTGGGCAGCATCTTTACCCGGTGGCCTCAACTCAGTGGCCAAGCCCAGTGGTAGGAGGGCTACTGGTGCTCCTGGGGGTCACTGGTGGTGGCAGATGTCCCCCCATTGCTTGCTCATCACTTGGGCCGCATTGCAGGGGTTTCTATGATGGATTTGGTGTCACAGCAGCCACTCTCCTCCCTTTCCCAGCCCCTTTCAATAGGTGACTGAGCAGATCCCCTTTGCATTGTGGCTTCTCCCACTTGGACCTTAAAGGCACTGGGAGCTCGGCGCGGCTGCTGGTGCTGCTGGGCTCCCATGGGGCTGCAGCATCACACCAGTCCCTGTCCTGCTTAAAGTAGGGTCTTGGATCCACCCAGTACAGGGGCTGGGCTCTCTTGTGTTATAAATGGGATGCCTCTGCCTGCATCCGGCACGAGGGTCCCTGCATGGAGTTGGGACTGCAGCTCGAGGAGCAATGGCGCTGGCAGAAAAGAGCAAGAAAAGGGCCTCTCATGGGCGTTCTGTAGTGATGGGTGCACGAAGCAGCAGGAATCCTCTTGCATTTGGCTTCCCAAGAGAAGCCGGTGGCCCCTTAGCCCTGGGGTGACACAAGGCAGGGGTTAATGAACCAGTGCCCAAGCAAAGCCAGAAGCCCTGATCCTGGTTAGGGCCCAGCAGGGAGCTGGGCTGGGCTCCTGAAGTCCACGTCTTGGGAATGTCCTATAGAGCTTTGAGCTCCAGGAAACATGGGCACGCATCCGACCCTTCTCCCCTGGTCCCTCTTTCTCCCAGCCCAAGCAGACCTAAAGCACTGCCAATGGAATCATTCCCCTCTCCTCTCAGCAGCTTTGCCATAAAGAGGATGCTCAGATGCTGCTGGGCACCTCGAACAGAACCCTCCCTCAATGTTCCATTCCCTGCAGGGTAGGATACCTCCAGATCCAAAGGGATTACGGATCCCATCCTACCTGCAGCACTTTAGGACAAGGACAGGAGATAGCCTGGAAGTCTGGAGCCGCCAGGGCCACCCAATGGCTGCTGGGTGAAGGATGGCTTTGGGGTGCTGCTGCTGTGACCCAAGGGCCTTCAGGAGGGTGCCTGCTGATTCACAGGCGTTAACGTAGGGGGATAAATGAGACCTGGTTTTAAAGCTTCCACCAACCTGCCCCGGCCCAGACCCTTCTCAATGGGCTCAGGCACCGCTTGGCCCCCTCCAACGCCCTCCAAGCCCCGGCGAGGTTGGGAATCGCCACCTCCCTTGGTGGCATCTGGGCTTTGTTAAAGCAAATCACTTGCACGTGGAGATGAGGAGGGGGCTGCAAGCTTCTCTCCCCCCCCCCTCCTCCCCAGGGAGACAGCCCGGAGGATGCAGGGATGCGCCAGCGCGGACGGGGCGATACCTACCCCGGGCTCAGTGGGACGCCGACATGGACCAAGCCCCTTCCATCCTCCAGACGGAGAAGGCGTAGCTGAGCCTCTCGTGGGCCAGGTAGTTGCAGCTGGCGACCTTGTGGTCCAGCTCATCGCTCTGCAGGACCTGGTACAAGAAATCGATGTAGCGGGCGGCCAGCTTGAGGGTCTGGATCTTGCTGAGCTTGTCGGAGGGCAGCGTGGGGATGATCTTGCGCAGCTCGGCGAAGGCGTCGTTGAGGGACTGGGTGCGCTGGCGCTCGCGCACGTTGGCGATGACGCGCTGCGTGTGCGCGTCCTCCACGGGCTGCGGCGCGGGGCTGCGCTTGCTCCGCTTGCCCTGCGGCGAGGGGACCCCTCGCTCCTCGCCCCCCTGGCTCCGCTTGCGGGGGCATTTCTTAGGCTGGCGCTCGCCTTCCTCTTCCTCCTCGTCCACGCTGCCCTCGGGTGAATCCGGGCACAAGTTCTCCTCCTTCATGCTCTCGGCTCCGGGCTCTTCAGGGGATGCGATGGGTGCAGGACATGGGAATGGTGGCCTGGAGAAGTCAAGAGGTGCAGCTTGGAGCATCCAAGCCTTGCGGAGCCCTCCAAGGAGCTCGGTTGGTTTTTCCTTTGGGCTACGGGGAGGAAGGCGTTCGGATAACTTTGGGGAACGGCTCTTGCTGATAGGGTGAGGAGGACAGTGGGCGGACCAGGCACAGACCAATGCAGCCGTGCAAGGTAATGCAAACAGCAGTGGAGCTTATGGGTTCCAGATTTCCTCCTTCCCTCCTCCACCGACACCCCCAGGCCCTGCGGCACAGATGCTCCTGCCTGCTGCCCGGATGGCAGGGGACATCGCCTCTGCCGATGCGAGCACCAGCCATGGACATCAAGGGAGATGTCTTTGAGGTCCAGGCTTTCCATTTCTAAGCCCAGTTGACCCTGCAAAAGCCAGCCAGAGATTGTTCGCTTGGCAATAGAAGACTTTTCTCTATGAGAGGTCCAAGTGGAGATGGGAAGCCATGGGTATGGATTTTCTATGAATCCAAAGGAAGAAGCAACAGTGACAGGAATCCATTCTGCTCTTGAGAAATGGTAGCATTCAAAATGAACTTGAGTTTGCATCCATTCATCCGTCCTTTCATCCATCATCCATCCATCCATCTGCCCATCCACCCACCCATTCATCCATCCATTCATCCATCATCCATCCATCCATCCATCCATCCATCCATCCATCATCCATCCATCCATCATCCATCATCCATCATCCATCATCCATCCATCATCCATCCATCCATCCATCCATCCATCCATCTCTCTTCCTCTGCCTCCATTTCTAGCAGTCTACAATAGAATTCTACCAGTAGAATCAGCACACAGAACTGGAGCCCATTGGTGCCCATCATCCTCCCATGCCCAAAATGCTCCTACGCCTTTGGGAACCCCTAGAACCTTCCCATCTCCCTCTCCAAGGTGTTTCTTCTCCTTGACCTAATCCAAGCTGTCTCCGCTCACCAGGCTCATCAGAAACTCTCACCCTGAGTCTCTTTGGGAGGACATTGAAGTCCTGGCAAGATGCTCCAAGGAGATATTGGGCTCCATTGCCCTTGCTCTGTCTCATGAGAGCCCAAAGGGACGTTATGGGAACAGGATGGTTTCAAACAGTGGCAGGAATTCATCAAAATCATTCAAATCACCCCAAACCCAGCGGCTGTTGCGTTGACACCTCCTGCCTATAGAAATAGAGGGGATTTAGCTCCTTTTTATGGCCACTACATCGAATATCCTGCACTGATCGGGCCGTGTAACATACAACAGCGTTCTCCTCCACCGAGGAGCCTGCACTGAGCCGCAGTGGGATCCTGTGCCCACCCCCAGGCGGGAATGACGTGGATGCAGCAGCTCAGGCTGAGCGTGACCAGAGGCTGCAGGAGAGAGTCCTTGGAAAGGCAACGACCTCTCCCTGTTGTCTCGCTGCCCGTGGTGAATGAGCATCCTCCTCTTGTGTTACCTTCATCCTGAATGACCGATGCTGTACTGCAGGCAGCTCTGTGCTCAAAAGCCTTTCCTATAGCCTGCAAGGAGGAGGAGGAGGAGGATGTCCTCTCCCTTTAGCACTGGGGCTGGATAAGAGCCAGGGGCTTGGCCAACTGTTGTTTTTCCAGTAGGAAAAGCCCCAAATCGAGCTCAGCTACAAGGTACTCCTTAAAACCATGCTCCATAGACCTGCCATGCACATTAACCTTGCTACACACCCCGTGGTCCAGCAGGGCTCACAGCAAACCCCTTTGCCTCCCTAACTGCACCCCTCCGGGTGTTGCTGCTCCACTGGGATGCACGGATCCCGAAGGTGCTTCTCTGTGTTTCACATCCCTCCATGGGCTTCTCTTGAGCATCCTTCACGCTGGGAAGGGACCAAGTGAAAGGGCAACACTTCAGCCCCTTTCCCAGCCATGCTGGCAGCGCTCAAGGCCAGGTTGGAAGGGGCTTGGAGCAAGCTGCTCCAGTGGCACAGGGTTGGAGCTGGATGAGCTTTAAGGCCCCTTCCAACCCAAACCATTCCCTGACCCCATGGTTTGAGAGCAGATGCCCAGCAACAGGTCGATACCGGGAGCCATCGGGATGGAGCCCGGTGACTTCGGAGCATCGGCTCAACCCATTCCTCAGGATGCTGCCGAGCATCAGACGTTGCTGCTGCGGGCAGACAATGGATCCCAGGCGCTGGGAAAGCGGGAGGAAACAAAGGCAGGGGGAAAAATCCCCCCGGGAGAGCAGGATTTTGGCTGCATCCAGGGCCCTCTGATCCCGCTCAGTGCTGCCAAGGGCTGGAGAGCTGCCAGTGAACACCAGCTGAGGCCCAGGGCTCGCGCTTGGGCTTTCTTTTCTTATTAATCTTTTTTTCTTGTTTTCCTTTAGTTTTCACCCTTTTTTTTTTGGTCTCATTTTCCTGGTTTTTTTTTTCCCCTTTTATTTTTTTTTTTCTCTAGAAATAGCTCAATTGAATTGCACTGGAGAGCAGCTTTGGCCCAAGGAAATGAAGCTGGGGCTTGGTGCTGATACCCTTGAGCAAAGGGAGAAACACAATGAGCTTTGATGTGCAGGAAGGATCAGCTGAACACCCCAAAAGGCTGTTTTTTTGTCTTTTTTTCACCCCGATTTGGCTGGTTTATGGCAAAAATATTTTTTCCTTTAAATGTTCCCATTTCTTTCAGTGGATTTGGTTTTTTTTTTTTTTTTTTTTTTTTTGAGGAGAAGAATATAAAATGCGGAGATTTCATGGAAAGGTCACGAGTTCCCAAAGTGGCTTCAATAACGTGGCTTTTGCAGCTGGTTGGGGGTTTATAGCCCTCGTCTTGACAGAGCGAAGGATTCAGACCTTAAACATGCACATTGCAAGCAAAAAAGCAACCTTGATTCCCTGAGGAGCAACCAGAGGGAAGATCTGAATTCCCACCGTGTCCCAGCCCTTCTGCCCGCCTCCATCCTCATCTTCCTCCACCCTTGCATCCGTCTTTCCTGAGCAGTGATTTGGGGGTTAGGTAGGATACGTCCCCATCGCTCGGGTCCGATCTGAGCCTGAAGATGCTTTGCAGGGTTCCTGTGGGGCCGATGGGAAGAAGGGAATGGTGGAAAGAAGGCGAGGACACCACCAAACGTGGGGACACAGCAAGGAGAACTGGATGAGCAGGGCTGAGGCTCACCGTAGCATCCCAGGGGCTCCTCAGATGGAAGCTGTTCCATGGGGCTGAGGTGGGAGATGAGGTTTCTAAAGGAAAGAGACCAAGGCAACCCCTTAAAACCGCATCCTTTTGGTGGGCTGAAAGCACACCTTGGTCAGCCCCAACCTGGATCTGCCTCTGAGCCTGAAGATGCTCTTCAGGTGTTAGGGGTTAGATGGGGTCTTTGGGGTGATGCCCATGGGAGAAGAGCTTGCAATGCAGCTGATGCTCCTCCAGCACAGGTTTAGGAAGGGGACAGGAGGCTCCGTCCCTGGGGCTTGGGAAGGGGTTGAACCCTGGTACAACAGAGCTGCAGACCTGCAGAGCCGGGCTAACCCGCTCCATGTGCGAGCCCGGTGCTGTCCACCCCATCCCCGTGACGGGCAAGAACCGGAGCAACCCTGGGCACCAAATCCGATGCAGGGTGTGTGTGTGTGCGTGTGTTAATTTGGGCTTTCTCTGTTGCAACCTCCCCTGCTGTGTTCGCAAGGACCCAACGGGGCTGGTTTGCTCCCGCCTGACAACAGCAAAGGAGGAGAAGGCCCATGAAAGGAGCCGGGCTGGAGGCTGGGGAAGCGGCTTCGCCTCTCCCAGGTTTTTCCAGTTACTGCAGCCGCGGAGTGGAAACATGTGTGGTGCGAAGAGGAATGCGGAGCATCCGCCGCAGCGTGTGGTTGCCGCGGCAACCGCAGGGAATGCGGGCTCGGGGATGGGGAAAGGGATGGGAAAAGGAGGGGGGGGACGGGACGGGGACCGCGCAGGGCCTCGGCTGGCAAAGGGGAGCTGGAGCGCTGCGGGGGCCTTTGATCCGTGAGCCCGCAGCGGTGATGGATGGGCTCGGGAGTCATTTCCTTGTCCAAGTGACCTCATGGGCCTGGAACTCGCTGAGCTCTTTAAGGAGTAAAAGATGTTCCCGTTCCCCCCCCCCCCAAAACACACACACAGGCGTGCACCCCCCTCCGGGAGCTTGGGGGGAGGCTGGCGGGGGCTGGCACGGGTGTGAGCGGTGAGGGTGGGAGGTGGGGGGGTTTCTGCAGTGATTTGGGGCTTGCTTTGGAGGGGAGGCGTGGGATGGGGCGGGGGATGGAGGGAGGGGTGGAGGGAGGGAAGGAGGGAGGGAGGGAGGGAGGGAGGGAGGCAGGGATGAAAGGAGGGATGAAGGGAGGGAGGGAGGGAGGGATGGAGGGAGGGATGGAGGGATGAAGGGAGGGAGGGAGGGAGGGATGAAGGGAGGGATGGAGGGAGGGAGGGATGAAGGAAGGAAGGGAGGGAGGGATGAAGGGAGGGAGGGAGGGATGGAGGGAGGGAGGGGGAGAGGGATGGAGGGAGGGATGAAGGAAGGGAGGGAGGGAGGGAGGGAGGGAGGGAGGGAGGGAGGGGGTGGGAGGGAAAGGAGGGAGGGGAGGGAGGGAGGGATGAAGGGAGGGATGGATGGAGGGAGGGATGGAGGGAGGGATGAAGGAAGGGAGGGAGGGATGAACGGAGGGATGAAGGAAGGGATGGAGGGAGACAGGGATGGAAGAAGGGATGAAGGGATGGAAGAAGGGATGAAGGGATGGAGGGAGGGATGAAGGGATAGGGGGATGGGGAGATGGAGGGAGGGAGGGAAAGAGGGATGGAGGAAGAGAAAGAGGGAAAGAAGGATGGAGAGATAGAGGGATGGAGGCAGGGAGGGAGGCAAGGATGGAGGGAAGGATGAAAGGAGGGATGAAGGGATGGAGAGATGGGGAGATGGAGGGAGGGAGGGAAAGAGGGAGAGAAGGTTGGAGAGATGGAGGCAGGGAGGGAGGAAGGGAATGAGGAAGATAAAAATGGAAGGAGGGAGGAATGAAGAGATGAAGGACAAAGACGGAGTGACAGTGATGGAGGGATGCAGGGATGGGCAGAGGGAGGGATGAAGGGACACCCCACGTGCCGCCTGCAGATGCCAACCACCACCCCACCCGGTTCCAGTTAATTCCTCCATGTGAAAGTTGCACTGGGGTTTCTCCCCCCCCTCTCCTTTCCTTCCCCATCTGTTTCCATGTGGCCATCAAAGGAGCAAAATCCATCTTGTGGGTCCCGCTGCCAAGAGCCTCCCCACAACCCTCCCAATTCCCAGCCTCCGGGGAGGGATGGGAATGGGCTCATCCCTGGACCTGCTTTGCTGCTGGTCATGAAGAGCAGCACGAGCAGTTCCCTTCCCCTTTGCTCCGGCTTTGTCCTCCGAAGGAGCCAGCACTTTGCAAGGCTCCTGTAGGGCACGAAGCCACCCGGGGAGGTGACACAGAATCCAGGCTGGAAAAGGCCTTTAAGTCCAACCATTCCCATCATTGCCAAGGCCACCACTGACCCATGGCACTGGGGCCTCGTCTCCACGGGGTGTGAGCACTTGCAGGGACAGTGGCTCCAGGACTGTCCTTCGCAGCCTGTTCCAATGCCTGAGCACCCTTTGGGGCAGGAATTGTTCCTCAGCTCCATCTAAACCTGCCCTGGTGCAGCTTGAGGCCGGTTCCTCTTGTCCCATCCCTTGGGAGCAGAGCTCAGTCCCCTCCTGGCTCCATCCTCCTGTCAGGCACTTGTAGGGAGCCATCAGGTCCCTCCTGAGCCCTCTCTTGTGCTCCCAAGGCCCTGGGGTCGGTGACTCACCGTCAGCTGGAGCAAGGAGCCCCATGGCTGTGGCTGGATGAGCAGGAAGCGTCTCCCCATCAGCGGCTGAGTCACTTCCAGCCGGGAGATGCTGCAGCCCCGCTCCACGCTGTGGGGAAGGGAAAGCAAACTCCCAGCTCCAAGGGGTTTCCACGGCTCAATCCCCTCTGAAGGTGCAAACGCTGCCCCATGCCCCTGCGGAGGCATCAGGGCCTCCGCCTGCACCCATGGAGCCCACAGAAGCCCTTTGCGGAGCTCACCAGAGGCAACCCAGTCACTCTGGTTTTGCAATCTGCTCCATGCAAACCCATCCCTGCCTTTTCCTGACCCTTGGAATGTCTCATCTGTGCGTCACCCTGTGCCCATCCCCTCCGGTTCAGGCTCAGCTCTTCCAGCATCCGACTTGTGGCTCCGCATCCGCAAGAGCATCCAACCAACGCGGCTCTATTTCCACACATCCACAGCTGCCTCGTCCATCCTTTCCCCTCTAGCTACCATGCCACTGCCACGTTGTCCCTTCCCTTTCCCTTCCATGATCCTGAAATCCCAAGGAAGCCAAAAGTTGGCTCTTTCCCCCCCTCTCTGGTGCTCTCAACCTGGTCTCTTGCTTTCATGTCTCTGCAAGGAGGTGTTGGAAGGACCACGTCTGAGAGCATCTTCCCATGATGGGAGGAGGTACCAAAGTGTCCCGGTGCCTTGAGCTCCTGCTCACAGCAAACCCAGCAGGGATTCAGCTTCAGGAACTGGGATGGGAGTGAAAACAGGAGGGAGGGGGGGGAATGTGGGGTTTTATCCTGGGAGCACCCAGAGCCAGGCTGCTCCCATCCCGGGAAGCACAAAGGGATGTGATGGAGCACACGCCTTTCCTAGCGGTCTTCCTTGGGCCACGGAAGCACAGAGCAGACGATGATGCTGATGGTGATGCACGGCCCAGAGCACACTGGGCTCTTTGTGTGTGACTTCAGTTCCCTGCATCTCCTCCCTTCCAGCCGTGGGCCAAGGGATGCAGGAAGAAGGGCTCTTGGATAAGCCAACGTGATTGGTCTCCATCTGTGTGAGCATCCACGCTCGTCTGAGGGGACCACTCCGAGCACTGGCACCTGGGTGTAAATCCCATTCGCACCAGCTCCACACCAGTTAGGAGCAACCAACACTTGGCTGGGATGGGAGAGGACAGGATGGGGCCTTTGGTCACCCCCAGACCCTTCAGCATCACCCTCCAGCACCATCCCCCCGGGGCTGTTATCAAGAAAGGGGGACAGAAAGAGGAGGAAGGGCTTTGGAGAAGGGGGAATTGAGTGAGTGGAGCGGGGTTGAGAGCTTGGACCCTTCCCCACATCCCACTCTGAGGCCGGTGAGAACCAAACTCCACCTCTGCAGCCTTCCCTCTCCCCATAGCACACCCTGGGGCAGGGAGCAGACCTGCCAAGCCCCTCCATAAAGCCTGGTAAAGAGGGACCAGCAGCTCTGCCTCCATCCCCAAGAGCTCCAAACCCCTTTAAGCTGCCTATGGAGCTCCAAGCCAGCGGGAGCCCCATGGGACGGGTGCCCCATGGATGTCCCCTGCTCCTCACGACCATCCGGCACGAGGAGGGTTTGCTCTGCTCGCCCCATGCGGGCACCTCCCAAAGGGAAGAACGCGTCTCTCCCGCTGCTGTTTTCCACCCTCTGCTCCCTCCCGGAGCTGACACCATTCCCAGCACATGTGGGAGGACCCTGGAAGCCTTCAAAGCCCTGTCTGGGGAGAGACGAAAGGGCCGGTTCAGCTCCTGGCTGGAGATGAAAGGAAACTCTCCCCTCGGCGCCTGGAATGAGTTCCCGGTGCTTTGGAGCTGGGGTTGGGGCCCATTTCCTGAGCTCCATGGCACGAGCTTTCATTTCCAGAGGGACTTTGCTCCCTATCCATGGGGCTGCCACGAGAGCAGATGGCTCAAGCCTCCGCGAGCATCCTGGAGCATCCTCCCCGCACTTGGGAGGATGCAGGAGGAGCAGCCCGGATGCTCCAGCACCTGATGCTGGTGCTCGCATCCTCTCTGTCTCCAAAGGGAATGGAGCCTGGTACAGCTCAGGGGGGTACCAAAGCCATGGGTGGGATGGGGGTGAGCAGAAAGGGGGGGGTTCACCTCCAAGCAGAGCCCAGGGCTGGGCGGATGCGAGCACCAGATTTAACTCATTTGGCCAAAGGAAATTCTCTTTGGATGAAATCCTGTTTGATCTCCTGCAAAAAGGGGGGAGGTGGGGGCAGGATTGGGTTTCTCTCCAATTGTTGGGCTTTATTGGGCTTAATGCATCCAAAGTGAGCTTGAAAGGAGGGAAAGGCAAGGGCAGGGGCTGCAGGATCTGGCCACCACTTCAAGGGGCTTCTGATGGAGCGGATGTGCTGCAGAGCACAAGGGAAGGGATGAAGCTGCTCACCCGGGGCTATGGGGCCACAGAGCAGAGGGGCCTGGGGGCCACCAACACCCTGGGCTGCGCCCATGTGTTGGGATGGGGTCCCTGAGCTGGGCCAGTGGGTACCAAATGGGCTCCTGAGCAACACGGAGAGGTCCAGCTGCAGCCCCGTGTCCCCATGGATGGGGTGAGCCTCCTCCTCCTTGCGGGCATCCCAGGTTTCCCAGCCTGCATCCCGGGTGAAGCCGCTTCCCAGCCACTGATCCCATCTTCCCCAGGGTGGGAAAACAAGGAGGAGGAGGAGGGTGCCTCAGCACCGTGGGCTTTGGGGTGCCCATCCCAAACTGTGCACATCCCAAAAGCAGCTCCATCCTCCAGCACTGGGGAAATGGGGAGGGAAACTTC